AATGATTTTATTCAGTTAGGTTTAAAAAAAAAACACCAGAACCGCTGAAGTTACTGTGGGCGACACTCTTCAAAAACCGATTATCAACCGCCTAATGTCCGGCTGTCATGATGAGCATTCCTCGGTTTCCGTCGTTCTCACAAAAAAAAGACGGAACTGATGATCTTTGCGTGTGGAGTAGTCACTATTTACGCAGTCCATGAGTCGGAACTTTCTTTTAACAAAGATTCCATTGGCCAACCTATCATTTAGAGCTAACTATTCTAGACATAACCTCTCACAGTGGAGCACTGGATACGCATATCTTTTGTGAAATGGCGATGGATTGCAAATCAATGCTGTACCTCTCGTTTTTTCATAGATGAAATAGTTACTACTTTTCTGCACTTTGAAAGTCATCAAAAACCCATTTGTTAACTTCTAAAATTTGATATCTTTCTACCCAAAGATCTATCTGTAAACATTCTCAAAAGTTTTTAATATTCTAATATACGTCTTCATCACTTTGAATTAGGGCAAACAACAGCCTCTCAGTGAAATGTAATGGCAGTGTGACTTTTTTGGTTTCAAAATTTTCTTATCTTCAGCAGTTCTCGGCTAATACAAAAATAACTTCCATACTCAAAGTTAAGCTTTGATTTCAAGAAGAAACAACTTTTTAAGGACAGATGCCTCCAGTAAAACAAAATTTTTTCGGCTAACATTCGTATGCAACTATCCATTTATTCATTCAGTTTAAAGTAATCTGAAAGACAGACTAAACCACCTAAGTCCTCAGGCTTCCAAGCACTTTGACACCAAATAATATACTTCTGATATTCCATAATATAATGTATCAACCTAAATGTCCTTAAACTAAAAACTGTACTTTGAAGAACAAATGAGGATGCTCGATAACAAAACCTAGAAGATGCAAAAAATATGAGAGCTTAACTGAAGGAAACTGCTCAGGAAGACCAAGAACTGAAAAGAACTGTTACTGTAGTGGAACTTGTTATCCCTACAGTACTTAATTTGAAATAAATTAAGGCTTAGCTAAACCGCTCTTATTACGATTAATTTCTCTTTTGTCGAAACACCGTAATTTAAAATTTTACCTAGAGTTTTTATATAAATCTCTTGTGCTCTATTTTACAGAGTTGGTGTAAGGCAGCTCTGCCAGTATTTAACAAATTATATGCTTAGTGTGAGCAAATTCTATGATAGCGTAATAGCTTGCATGAACTAAAAGTGAACTATTATTTGAATCTTAATAGTAAATTTCTAACAATTTGTTAAAGCTCCGACCTGTGGGATGAAACTTTGTTCGACCGTACACCGTAATATTTCTTCAAATTTTTCCAAAATTAAATGACGTCAACCGCCCCTTTCTGATTCTAATGACAATAACTGACACTATATTACAATTTTGATTTAGTAAAGAAATAGTAAAGTAAAAAATTAATAAAGTAAAAGAATGAATCTTACTTACTTAACTAAACATCATTGAGGGTAATTTAATATTTGGCAAATCACACGGTTTAGAAGGTTAGCTCAAATACAGTATAGGATATGAACAAAAAAACTAAAATTTTATGCTTTCTTAAATTTGGTCAATTTTGACAAAGGAATATGGCTGACAGATTGGCTGGAGCTTCGATGAATTCATCGACAGTTACCTTACTTAAAAAAGGGTTTATAATTCACTAAATAAACTTCCAAAACAATCCTTCCAAGAATCCACTTCCCCCTCTTCAACAACAGCTGATTAACTAGGCCAGTACTTTTTAAAAGAGACTATGGAAATCCAGAGGGCAACAAAAACGAGAGCCGCCCAGTAAACGTCGGTAATATGGTCCAAACATTCCGACGGTGGTAAGATTTGTTTTTTTTCTAAAGGCACTACCAAGGAGTAGGGTTTCTTCTTTCAAAGGGATCAGACAAGAATGATAGGAATGGAGAAAAGCAAGAACCATGACAAATGCTCAGTTTGAAGATTATAACCAGCTAC